TAAGATTTGAATTTAGTTTTGGATTAAATATATTCCAATCTGGATTGGAAGTTGTTCTCTTTTAAGGATTTAAACACCTCACTCCAAGCTCTCCTGGTCTTTAATGTTTGTGTTGAAAAAGCTGTTATAATTCTACGGGTTTACCTTTATAAATAATTCATTGCTTTTCCCAACAATTTTTAAGATTCTGTCCTTGTGTTAGATTTCTGAGATATAGACAGAAATGTATCATGGAGGGTTCTTTTCATTTTTTTTTTTTTTTTTTGCGGGACCGGGGATTGAATTCAGGACCCTGTGCTTGCCAGGGAAGTGTTTATTCTACTGAGCTATTTTCTCAGGCCCAAATTATTATTATTATTATTATTTTTTTTAGCGGAACCAGGGATTGAACTCAGGTCCTTGCGCTTGCCAGGAAAGTGCTTATTCTACTGAGCCATCTCCCTGGTTCCCTGAGGGGTTCTTTTCTGATCATGGTTATTTGGGGTTCTATGTGCCTCACTTAGATGTATGTCAAATTATTTCCCCATATTTGGAAATTTTTCTGCTATTATTTCTGTAAGCAGTGGTTTTTGTTGTGCTACTGTACTATCTTCTGATTTTTCACTAATGTCAATTGATCTTAAGTTAATCTTTGCATCCAGGGCTAAAGGCCTTTGGGGTCATACTCTGAAGAATCAGCAGGTAGAATGTCTGAGAGACTGAAGAAAATAGGCCTAGTGTATCTAACTGTCTTCATTCATGTTCCCCTGACCTTGCCAACCTCCAAAAGAAGTTAATTAATTTTTTTAAGACAAGGTCTCCTTGTGTATTTCAGGCTAGCCTCAAGTTCACTATATAGCTTAGGCTGACCTGAAACTCATAGTGATCCTCTGCCTTCAGCCTCCCGAGTGCTGGAATTACATGTGGGTGCCACCACAACCAACAAAAAGAAATTTATTTATTTATTTTTTTAATGAGCAGGATATATTTATTGAAAGAAAACTCCTGTCCAAGAGAGGGGCAGGAGGGGGGCCCGAGCAGATAGTTCCCCCGAAAAAGAAATTTATTGAGCATCAGAAATCTAACAGGTCTGGGGCCGGGGAGATAGCTTAGTGGAATAAGTGCTTGCCTGGCAAGCTCAAGGGCCTGAGTTCAATCCCTGGTTCTGCTACGAAAAGAAAAAAAAAATCTACTAGGTCTGCTGATCTTGCCAAGCAGATATGAGAACTTCTCTCTGGTTAGGATGTTAGAGATGTCAGCACATGAGTGTAGCCATGTGAGGGAACTTCAGCCTTAAAGGAGTTTTCTCTACAAGTCAGTTTGGCTAGACCAGAAGTCCGGACACTGCAGAAAGATGTGGCTGATCTTTAGGAGTATGAATATTGTACTTGTGTAGATATAATAGTTCAGGAAAATTGTTTTCCTGTTCATGGTGCTATTTTGCAGTATGGAGTCCATTTTTTTTAAACATTGCCTGCTTCCTCGAGGTCCTGCATATGAGCAGAGATGATGATGGCCATCAATACGCTGGTATTGATACACCCGTGTTTTGCTACTTTTACTTGGGAGAGTTTGGAATGGGGAACTCGATGTTTCAAAATGTTTTTTTTTTTTTTTTTTTTTTTTTTTTTTTTTTTTTTTTTGCGGAATTGGGGATTGAACTCAGGCCCTTATGCTTGCCAGGGAAGCACTTATTCCACTGAGCCATCTCCCGGCCCCCTAAAATGTTGATATTCTTATTCAGCTGAGTAATTTGGGACACTGGCTCCCTTGATGTAGACATGCACGGACCATTTGATTACGTGTGCTACCATGGCATCGTCCTTCATGTTTCTTCAAACTCCAAACTGGTTGAAGCTTTTGAGAGAAGTTAGAACTGTTTAGGTGATGAGCTGAAAGCCCACAGGCTATTTTTTCTGTGCTGTCTCCGTTTCCTCCAAATTTATTATGAAGGTGGATAAAAACTGGTGAAGAAATCACAGACTGAATTTTGAGGATGCTCACAAGAATTGTAGTAGATAAATCCATGATACCAAAAAACATGCAAAAGTATACCACCCCATATATACACCGATATGGTAGCCTGTCTGTTTACACTGTAGACTCTGTGGGTCATCTCAGTGAAGCCAAGCATGACCAGGAGGGCAGAAGAACCCATGGAACTTTACATATAGCTGTCCTTGGAATTTAACATGCTTGCACAAGGCCTGAAATTCTGATTTTAATTTTTTTTTTTTTAATAGGGAAGGGTCTACAGGATGTCAGGGTCTCACTACTAGATTGGACTCATAGTGATTCCCCCTGTTTACAGCCTCCCAAGAGCTGGGATTATAGGTGTGCACCACCACGCCCAGTCTCAATGGCTGGCTCAGCATGACCCGGGGGGTGGGGCCGGCACACCAGGCTGGGGGATCGAAACCCTGGCCCCTGTGCCTGCTTGCAGGCACTTTAATCTGCTGAGTTATTTAGCTGGCCCTTTTTATTTCTAAAACTACACATTTGTCTTCCATTTTGCAAACACAACCAATTTGTTTTACTATTTCAGTGTTTGAGATGTACAAGGTCAGTTTTTTTTTTTTGAGCCTAAATTATGACATCTGAGACAGATGAAGGATTAGAATTAATGTGGCTCTGCTTTTAATATTAAAATCAAGCACTCAGTTCTAGTGACTAAGCATCAAATGAGGCTCTTTCTTAATGTAATATGACAGGTGTGAGATTATGTATAATTATTCAATGACATTCTCCCCCCATTTTTTCCCCCAATCTTTGAAACTAATCCAATTTCCTGACCCCAAGGTTAGATTCCTATATTTACATTCAATACTTGGGCCGGGTAGATGGCTCAGTAGAATAAGCGCTTCCCTGGCAAGCGCAAGGGTCTGAGTTCAATCCCCGGTTCTGCAAACAAAAAGAAAAGTTAATACTTTGTTGATGTTTAAATGTTTGGAATTAAAATAAATTCATTATAAAAATGATGATAGCCATATTTAAATATAAATTAATTTTCATGAGAGAATTAAATAGACCCTCTGATTTAAATTTGACATTTTTTAATCTCTTAGTTTTATTTATTTATCTATTTTTAATTTTGTTTATTTATGTGTGTATGTGTGGCCAGCTCAGCCCACCAGGGGGCGGGGCTGGCTGGCATGTGGTGCTGGGGGATTGAACCGCAGTTCCTGTGCTTTGCTTAGCTTGTTCTAGGTAGGTGCTTTAGACCACTGAGCCATCTCACCAGCCCCCTCTTAGTTCTAGAGTAAGCTTGTATATCAAATAGTAGCCTATAAGAATATAAAGCATGGTGCTAGACTCACATGCCCAGTTGTTGTTATGATGAAGATGATGATGATTATGTCTTGAGACAGGGTCTCACTATGCAGTTCAGGCTGGCCTTGAGGTCACTTTGTAGCCCAGGCTGTCATCTCAAGTTCAAAGCCAACCTGGACTACAATGGTGAGTTCCAAAGCCAGTCTGAGCTACATAGCCCGATCTTGTCTTAAAAAAAAAAAAAAAAAAAAAAAAAAAAAAAAAATTAATACAGGAACAAGGGCACATACCTGTATTCCCAGCTACTATACTTGGGAAGGCTGAAGCAGGAACATTATGAATTTGAGGTATGTCTGAGAAAGTGGATGAACTATAAGATCCAAATGTTAAGTGACGTAAACAGACACAAGAGCTTAAATACCACATGGTTTTTATCATATGAGAAAACCAAAATTAAAATGAAGAGAAAAAAAAAGTTAATAAAAATAGGGAGGTAGCTCTTGTAGAAGGGGGAAGGGGACTGAGAGATGCAGGCCGGGAGGAAAAGACATGAAGGGGAGGAAAAAAAGGAATTAAAATGTGTTTGTTGTGCCAACTCCCCACAGGGACTCATTATATACCACACATGCACTAATAATAATTTTAAAGGATACAAAATAACCAAAAGGCATCATCTATACTTTGCAGTTTAAAAAAAACGAGACTATATTTCTTAATGTGTTATTTTTCTAAAGTTTTAATTTTTTTTTTTTTTTTTTGGTTGTTTTTGTGGTACTGGGGATTGAATTCAAGTCCCTGCGCTTGCAAGGCAAGTGCTTAGTCTACTGAGTTATCTTCCCAGGCCCTAAAATTTTAAATAAAAATTATAATAAAAAAATTTTTAAAAAGTAAAATTGTGAGGCAGCTCTTGGAAAAAATTTACAAGGCCAGGTACAGTGGTATGCCTGTCATCAGGCTACTTGATAGGCTGAGGCAGGAGGATCAACTGAGTCTAGGTTTTCAAGACTATAATATGCTAAGCAAGAATTGGCTGAATACAAAGGATAATCAAGAAATACAGTAAATGTTTAAATCAAAACATTTTTAATATAATAAAAGATATTGCCTAACTCAAAAATAGGTAATAAGTCAGACACAAAGGTGTATTATCGTGAAAGAATGAACCTTGGTAATTTGCCATAAATAAATGCAATAAAAATCTCATTTGAACATTGGGCGTGGTGACACATGCCTGTAATCCTGGCACTTGGGAGGCTGAGGCAGAAAGATCACTACAAATTCAAGGCCAGCCTGGGCCACAGAGTGTTTTCCTTGTCTCAAACAAAACAAAAATCTCATCAGGAGACGGTTAGAGGTGTTTTAATATCAGAACATCCTCACAAATTGAACTGAAAGGGAGCTATTAGGTGATCTTTTCCAGTCCTCTCATCTCACAAGTGGGGAATTATTTTAAACTTGGATAGTGGAGCGACCTGGGCCAGGTCACAAAGCCACCACCAGCTGACTCAACATGGAACTTGTGGTGGGGCTGGGTAGACGGGGGATCCTTTGTTCTTTCTCTTCCCGGCAGAGATTCTTTTAAACATTGTTTTGCTAGTCTGGCAAGCTTCCCTGCTCCACGCAGTGTTGTGATACAGACGATTCCACTTTATTCTTCCACTTACTCTGTCACCTCCAGGAAGCTGGTCCGCTAAGGAAACTGGCGGGTCTGGTGTGGTTCCAGCGGCTGCCCCGCCCTCCAGGCTGGCTGACAGGCTGGGAGCAGCTGACTCCAGAGCTCCCGCTCATGTGACCACCACGGCTCCCCGTTCTGGGTTCTCGTCTCCAGCCAGGGTGGGCACTTGCGGAGCCGCTTCTGTGGGGAGCAGCAGGTAGGCGCCCCAGTCCTGGGTGGGGACTGCTACTGGAACAGCCGGAGGGGACAGCAGACCGGCAGCTGAAGGAATGTGCTGGCAATTAGCTGGCAGGCTTTCCACTCTGCTGCTGGGCTCTTTGAGCAGGGGTGACAGACAGTAACGAGCCTCAAGTTGTCCTACACAGTCCCCTTGGGACCCTTTCCCTCCCCTGGTCCCCTACCTCAGGGACAGCCGCTCTGTCCTTCCTTCCTCTGTCCTTTGACCGTTGCTCGCCTTCGGTAACAGACCTTTTCTCCTTTCTCTTGCTGACTTAGCAGCACACTGAGGGGAGTGGAGAGATTAATCAGTGACAGGAAGCGGAGTCTTGTCCAGAGTGGTGACCCTTTGTGGTCAGACTGATCTTTGCGAGCCCGCCCCTGGAGTTTCTCCTGCTTTCTGCCTGCCGCTCATCCACCTGCTTCCACCATGTGGATCCTTAGGGTCTTCCTGGTCCTGCTGGGGGCCCTGGGGGCTCTCTCCGAGTTCTGTGGTGAGTAAACAGCCCGTATCTCATTTCTCTTTCCTCCTGGATCTCAGGGAGAGAGAACTATTTTTCCAAGACCTTCATTATGAATCTGGGGAAACTGAAACTCAGGGGTGGGATAGGGAACTTAACTGCCTCTCTGGGTCCCCACGACAGTTTGGTACTTTGTATTGAGATTAGTTAGATGCCTGACGGTCCACAAGACACAATCAAGTCAGACAACTTGAGGGATCAAGAAGGGCATGATGGCACATGCCTGTGATCCCAGCAATCAAGAGGCTGAGGCAGGAAAATTGCCAAGAGTTTGAGTAAGGCTGGCCTGGGCTACATAGTGAGTCAAAAGCCAACCCGACCTCCTCTCAAAAAAAAAAAAAAAAAAAAAAACAGAAAAAGTAAAAAAGATTTCCCCCATTTATTCAGGTATGCGGCCGATTATCCATCTAACACACATTTACTGAGGCTTCTCAGTGCCTGGCCTGGTCTTAGACTTTGGAGAAAGAATAAAGGGCAGGATCAGTTTGGTTGTTGTCCTCTTAATGGAAGAGGATGGGAAAAAGAAATCAAGTTTAGTCAGGTGTGGTGGCACATGCCTGTAATCCCAGCACTTGTGAGGTTAATGTTGGAGTTTCGCCTTCAGCTCGAGGCCACTTGGGCTACATGGTGTGTTCAAAGCCAACCTGACTTACTGAGTGAGACCCTATTTCAAAAAATAAAGAAAATAAAAAGAAAGAAAGTCAAGTTTACAAATTGGGGTATGGTGAGTGCCACAGGAGAACCCAACTGGCAGTAGAATAGAAGTAGACAGCCAGGGAACCACCAGTTCTGGGAAAGGCTTGAAGACCCCCATGGGACCTGAGACTGAAAGAAAGTAATGAACCAGTTGGGAGTAGGAACCATGTTCCAGGATGCTCAGAGGGGTCGCAACTCTCAGGATCCCTGTGGATCTCTGTCAGTCTCATAGCACAGGCTCACTTGTACACCAGGACAGGCAGAAAGCAGACGCAGACTTTAGGACTCTGACTGCCCAGCTCTCCTCTTGGCCTCCTTTCACCCCACACACTGGGTCTCTGGTGATCGAGGAACTCTGAGAGGCAGGTGCAGACAGATGCAGGTGTCAGATAAAGAGGTTGAGAGTAGACCAGCCAAGTGACCTGCTCAGGGTGCTCCAGCTGTACTAGACCTTTGGAATGTCAAGCCAGGGTCTTCTCTGGGCTCTAGAATCTTCTAGCCTATGTTCCAGGAGTAATCAGACCCCTGAGCCTGGAGTCCTTGATTCTTATCCAAATAGTTCCCAGGGGAGACCAGAGTTGGGCCAGTCACAGCTCCCCATCCTGCCCACCTGGACAGCCTGGTCCTAACCCTGAAACAATGAGACCCCAAGCCTGACCTCAAGAGAGTCCCTTAAAAAGAAAAAAAAAAAAAAGATACAAACACCAAAGATTGGATAGAGGTGCAGCCTGCTGCTGCTACCGCTGCTGCTGAGTCTTAAGTACTCCCAGCCTCATCCCCTCACCTGTAAAATGGGCTGAGAACATTTCCCCGCCTTTCTGCTCATGGTGGTACATGGGTCCTCCTCGCATCTGCTTTCTCATTAACTCTCTGCGAGCTGGTGAACCTGCCAGGGATGGCTCTACCAGTGCAGAAAGCAAGATAGGTTCCTCCCTTTCCGAATGCCAGGGCCAATTAGTCCTCTACTGGCGGGGCTCGGCAGCTCTGTGTGCAGGAGGCACCTGAGAGCAGGACACCGTAGTGGGG